CAAATGTCCTAAATTTAATGTACATATCTTTTAAAGTATATTTATTAAATTCTATTACTTTTCTTGAAATAATCTTTAAGAATTTTTTTTTTTTTTTTGAGACAGAGTCTCACTCTGTCGCCCAGGCTGGAGTGCAGTGGTGCGATCTCAGCTCACTGCAAGCTCCGCCTCCCGGGTTCACGCCATTCTCCTGCCTCAGTCTCCCAAGTAGCTGGGACTACAGGCGTCTGCCATCACCCCCGGCTAATTTTTTGTATTTTTAGTACAGCAGGGTTTCACCGTGTTGGCCAGGATGGTCTTGATCTTCTGACCTCATGATCTGCCCGCCTCAGCCTCCCAAAGTGCTGGGATTACAGGCGTGAGCCACCATGCCTGGCCTAACAAAATTTTTAAAGATGATCATCATTTCTGTTGATTTTTCTTAAGAATTCATAAAATACATCAATACTGTGGCTTCTTGGTTAATATTTTGTTACCCTTCTCCTATTTCTTTGCTAGTAAGTTCTTAAATTTTAGATTTTAAGATAGTGGATAGGGCTGAGGTCTGGCAAAATTTAAGATACAGGTAACCACAATGACAATATAATAAGCCATTCAAAATTGAGCATTACTTTTCTTGAGATGAGGTCTCGCTTTGTTGCTCTGGCTGATCTTCACACCCCTGGATTCAAGCAATCCTCTCAGCCTCCAGAGTAGCTAGGACTACAGAAGTGTGCCTCTGCACTTGGCTACTTAATTTTTGTAACGGAGGAAATAAGGCTGTTCTTTCTGTAATAATAGCTAGCATATGGTAGAACATATGTAGTACTATTTGAATTCTATTTTGTAAGATGTTATCAGAAAATGGGATTCAAATAAAAATAAATGGAGTGATAAACAACATGTCAGTAATGTAAGCAGAATAATACAAAGCAAAGATGGAAACGGATGACAAGACATCTTAATTTCTTCACAAAAGTCATTAAAACTACTTCACTGTCCTCCTTCCCTCCAGGGCCCTCAAGACATACATTAGGTTTTTCATTGTAAAAGTTTGGGATATCCAGAAAAGTATAAACAATATATATTTATTGGTCTTAATTATCTCAATTCTATCATACGGAGCTAATCATTGTTAACATTTTAGTTTGTAGCCCCCCATCTATTTTATATATATGTACAATTATATCTATATTATGTACAAATTATACTGTATATGTGAAATTAGGATTATATTGTATCGTATTTGTATTTGGTACTTGTTTTGGTCATTACATATCCACATTTTCCTCTATCATCAATTAGTCTTCTAAAATAACAAACGTGTGGTTTTTGGGAGTGGGTAGGAAGACTGTCAAAATATATTCACAACCATGTAAATGATAATAATAGATATGATCACTTAAAAAATCAATATATCTGTAAGAAAATTAGTATGCACATGAGATAGCTGGCTAATTAACAAATATATCAGCTCCTTATTAATATATACTTTAAAAAACTTTTCTTAGGCCAAGTGCAGTAGCTCAAGCCTGTAATCTCAGCACTTTGGGAGGCCAAGGTGGGTGGTCAGCAGTTGAGGTCAGGAATTCGAGACCAGCCTGGCCAACATGGTGAAACTCAGTCTCTACTAAGAACAATTAGCCAGGTGTGGTGGCGTGTGTGTATAATCCCAACTACTCAGGAGGCTGGCACAGGGGAATTGCTTGAACCTGCACCACTGCACTGCAGCCTGCATAACAGAGTGAGACTCCATCTCAAAAAAAAAAAAAAAAAAAAAAAATCTTAAATTACAAGTGTTACTTTGCTCTTTACATTGCATAGTCAAATTGTCCTATGAAAATACCTCTAACACTTTGGTATATATTCTTCTATTTATAATGTGATTTTCAATCATCTAAATAGCATCTTACCATATAAATTCATAATTTAATCAATCCCCTTTCATTGGGCATTTATTTACTGTATTTTATTATCAATAAATGAACATAAATCTTGTTCTTCGACAAAATCACACTAAATTTATTATACCCTATTCTTGTATACATATATATATCATTATTGAGGATTCATGAATTTCAAATCTTAACTTCTTTGGACTTCAGTTTTCTTATCTGTAAAATTAGAGAGTTGGTTCAGAGTTCTAATTATGCTCCCTTTCTTTTAAAAAAAATTACTATAAAGAGTTTTCATGTGGAGAGGGCATACACAGAATCATACAGAGGAATTCTGTTTCTGAAATACCTGTTTTACATCAAAATTTGGGGACAAAGTTTGCTTTTTTCCCTGTTAAATAAAGTCTTTGGGGGAAAATCATTATTTCTGAGTGTGCTGCTTTGATCTCTGCCTCCAGAAATTGGGATTTATTTCCCACTGCCATTAGGATGCAAGATCCTGATTAAGAAAACTTACTAAGTTTAAGAATTTTAATTTAAGAACTGGTCTTACATTCTTAAACAGGATATTTAAAGTTGCCTTTTGCCTTGGAATCTAAACACACACATTCCACTCTTTTCACTGTTTCACTCCAGAACTTCTTATTGGTTAAAGTTTGTTTGGTTTTACTAACTCTTTTCTTTTTCTTCTCTTTTTTTTTTTTTCTTTGAGATGGAATTTTGCTTTTGTTGCCCAGGCTGGAGTGCAGGGTGCAATCTTGGCTTGCTGCAACTTCCATCTCCCGGGGTTCAAGCGATTCTCCTGCCTCAGCCTCCCAAGTAGCTGGAGCTACAGGCATGCACCACCACGCCCGGCTAATTTTGTATTTTTAGTAGAGATGGGGTTTCACTGTGCTGGCCAGGCTGGTCTCGAACTCCTGACAGGTGATCCACCCACCTCGGCCTCCCAAAGTGCTGGGATTACAGGCATGAGACACCGTGCCTGGCCGATTTTACTAATTCTTAAATCTGTCCCACCTCACTGGCTACAATTTTGTGAAACTTCTATCTCCTTTTTTTTTTCTTTTTTTTTTAAGATGGAGTCTTGCTCTGTTGCCAGGCTGGAGTGCAGTGGCGCGATCACCACTTACTGCAACCTCCTCCTTCCGGGTTCAAGCGCTTCTCCTGCCTCAGCCTCCCAAGTAGCTAGGATTACAAGCATGTGCCACCATGCCCAGCTAATTTTGTATTTTTAGCAGAGACGGGGTTTCACTGTCTTGGCCAGGATGGTCTCGATCTCCTGATCTCGTGATCCTCCCGCCTCTGCCTCCCAAAGTGCTGGGATTACAGGTGTGAGCCACTGCGCCTGATCCTATCTCACTTCTTTTGCAACTAGAAGGCCAAGTTCAGCCTTTATAAACATACCCACAGGAAATACTGACCACTGAGTATAGTAAATTTATATTTTTCGTTTATATTTCTCATTCACTTTACATGCAATGGATAGTTTTTAGTTTTACAATCATAAAAACGACCACAAATGCTCCGCATATGTTCACATTAAACACACCATGAACTTGTTCTTTTTTTTTTTTTTTTTTAAGTTTTTTAAGATACAGATTTCTTTTTTTTTCTCTTGGTTTTTTTAAGACGGAGTCTCGCTCTGTCCCCCAGACTAGAGTGCAGTGGCGCGATCTTGGCTCACTGCAAGCTCCGCCTCCCGGGTTCATGCCATTCTCCTGCCTCAGCCTCCCGAGTAGCTGGGACTACAGGCGCCTGCCACCTCGCCCGGCTAAGTTTTTGTATTTTTAGTAGAGACGGGGTTTCACCGTGTTAGCCAGGATGGTCTCGATCTCCTGACCTCGTGATCCGCCCGTCTCGGCCTCCCAAAGTGTTGGGATTACAGGCTTGAGCCACCGCGCCCAGCCAATTTTTTTTTTTTTGTATTTTTAGTAGAGACGGGGTTTCACCGTGTTAACCAGGATGGTCTCGATCTCCTGACCTCGTGATCCGCCCGCCATGGCCTCCCAAAGTGCTGGGATTACAGGCATGAGCCACCGCACCCGGCCAAAGATGCAGATTTCACGGGTGGAAGAATAAAACTGAACTAAAGGCAGCCAGATTTTTCTACCACAGAGGAGCAAAAGAAAACCGGATACACACAAATTTTAGTTATAGCATTTCAAAATCCTAAATAAACTAGAAAGCTCGTTTTTCCTACAAAAATTTATTTTTGCTGTTATGAGCAAACCCTGTCAGAGTCTTGATACTTTTTTTTAAATTCCAAAATTGACGCAAAGGCTACCAAATGTAGTAGAAAATGAAATCGAAAAATTTAAAAACGATTTCATTTCTACTTCCTACATCCAGATGGCAAATAACTTTTCCTTCACTTTCCTTTGTCTTCCTTTAATAAATTTAAGAATTTTAATTAATGTTTTTTAAAAGGGCTGCTTTCAGGTTCAGAGACCAAAATTGGCACAGTTAGAAAGGAGGTCACCAATGCGGTCAAATAGGGACTCGCTCCGCCGCAACGCCTCTGGACCTCTTCATCTCTCTGGCTGGGAAAATAAAGCGGACAAGCTCTGAAAAACGCCCAGGACTAGACTAACTGTTAAGAGGCCCTGCACCCTCAGTTGAACATTCCTTCAAGAGTGCCCGCGGACCTGGCCAGGGGTGTTCAGGCAGGTGTCTGACTCTCGTGGAGTGTGTCTTGAGGTTCCCTTTCTCCTCGGTCCCGAGTGGCCTAAAAATTAAAATAAGAAAATCGGCGGCCTGAGAGAACTTTGCAAACACACGTGCAGCATCTTCTCTGACGCTTAGAAAGTCCGTTACTCGCGCGGAGGCGAACCCCTCCACTCACTGGGAGGCCACCAGCCCTACCTAACGCCACGCCCAGGCCGCCGACAGGCTGACCCGGAAGTGCTCGGCGGCGGCTGCGGCGACGGGGGCGCGGCCTAGCCGGCGCACCCGCGCGCGCGCTCTCCGCGGAACTCCTGCTGGCGGCCAGGCTCACGCGGAGGCGCGCCCGAACAGTCGCGGCCGCCGCCAACATGGCCGAGACCAGCGAGGAAGTGGCGGTGCTGGTGCAGCGGGTAGTGAAGGACATCACTAACGCCTTCAGGAGGAACCCGCACATGTGAGTCGCGCGCCTCCGCCACCTCCGAGGGTCGTCGGGAGCGGGCGGGGGCGGGGCCAAGCGTCCACCCGACCTCGGGCGGCGGGCTGACCACGGGTCCTGGCCCACGCGCCCTTCTAGGGAGGAGGCAGAGCCGTGTCGGGCGCCGCTGGCCGGGCTTTCCGCTACCGGGACGCGCTGGCGGACGAGTCCCTAGAAGTGACCTCGAAAAATCGAAACGGAACGACTTTCTCTCTCCCTTCCCACCTTTTCATAGGAGTTCACGAAACTCCAAAGACTTCCCCCGTAGGTCCACATCCTTCCTCTGTTTAAGGTACACGGGCGCACGCAACAATGTGGGTCTGTGCATACCTTGTAAACACAACTCTTGAGATTCATCCCGGTCATTGGCAAGGGGGTAACCGATCGTCTTAGTCTTAATGAGCCCTAAACCCCTCAGTTTACTAACTAAAGGTGGTTTGAGGCTGCTTTTGACTTTCGCCTTACTTGCCACAAAATTGTAAATTGACTCCGATAAAACATTGTGTTTTGAAGGTGAACGGAGCATTCTCAAGAGAAGCTTCTGTGGGCGCGGTGTGGAGTCTGGGATAATGCAAATGAAACCTCGATACTTTTTAGCATAAGCGGATTCATAGTTACAAGGAGCATGTTAACTCATTTTTATCCCAGCACTGCTGCCCTCTTTAACGGGACACTGCAGAACTGACACATGTATCTCTTCCGCTTTACTTGAAGTACTCTTGGAAGATACCACAAGAGTCTACTTTTTGTAACACTTTGCTTTTGTGTAACAAGTGAAAAGAAAACTATTAGAGAGAGAGATCTCCATTATACAAAGGTGTAGGGAAGAAGCAACAGTGTACCTCCTTTCCCATACCTCTTCCTCCTCAAAGAAAAGAAACATGGCATTCAGTTCTGCATTATTTTCACTTTAGTTGTTTTTGGAGTTTATTTTTACTTTTATTCTTTAGACTGGAACTCAATTTTTTTTTTTTTTAAGTATTCTAACAGGTTCAGCTTTTCTGCCTAAAAAAGTTGCCAAACTTGTATCTTACCAAAGTGTTCTTTTCCTCCAAGGAGATGATTGTAAAAGAGTTAAGAAGCTCTCGGATGTTTGCTCCCTTGTGGCACAGAATTGGAGACGTGCAACTGTGCCACATTAAAAACAAAACACTGCTGGCCTCAAAACACACCTGCCACCTCTGACAGCATCCACTTCCCTCCCCCTTATGACTGCTGCCTTTTTCAAAATGAGAGTGTTTGGAATGATTTCCTGGCAGTATCCATAGTGGTTGCTGAGCCTTCTAAAGAATGCTTTGATGCCTTGCTGTATATCAGTCTTTCGATTTCTTTTTGAGAATGGGAGCCTTAGTGCAAGTAAGAGACAACCTCAAAAAAAAAAAAAAAAAAAGTTGGACAAATCAAGAGTGTATTTTCTCATCACTGGTATTATTTTTCTAGAAGAAATTACAGCAGAGATTAGAAGTCTAATAAAAAAATATCGTAATCATCTTATGTTCTCTTCTTTGAGGTAGACTAAAAGAGCATCATTATATTTGAAGAAACCAAGATTGAATGTTCATTGGCTTGGCAGTTTAACAGTGCAGTTTGGAACACGTCCCAGTTCTTGTGGATCACATTTACGGAAACTCTTAAAGGACTTTAATGCCCCTCCCTAATCCTTTTTCTACTGTGAAACCTCATCAATATATTCTCAATGTATAATTTATTAGTAATAAGGGTTTGGCTCATTCGAGATTTAAAACTTTGAGATAAGTTGGATATTCGGAATAATGAAATGATTTGTAATATGGATCTTAAACATTTGAATAGCTTACCTCACTGTTTAATACTAGTCATCAGCTATATTTGAGTACATATTCCCCACAGTAAAACTATTTTCAATAATATTACTATGCATCTTTTTAAGTGCTTTATAATTTGGGTTTTTGAAAATTGCCTGCACTTTCTTCCCTTAATTTAGCCCATTTACTCCCAAAATAAAGAGGCTGTGTTTCTTTTCTTTTTTTAAAAAAAGCATTGTTTATCTGTGACATTTGTATCTAACTTTACTGTATCTAATTACACATTCAGTATTATAAAAGTTTCCTTCTCCAAACTTAAGGTCGGTTGTAATTTTATTAGCCAACATCTACTTCATTAAATACACTGTTTGTTTATGTAGAAATATTTAGCCAGAAGGAGTTGAGGATGCAGTGGTGAGATATGGGTGTTGTTACTGTATGATGTGAATAGGTACCTTCTCAGCCTCAGTGTCCTCTTGATCTTGTGAGGCTGATGAGAACACAGGAAAATCACCTCACACAGTGGTACTTAGTTGCCACTCAATAAATATTAGACCTTCCCTGAATCTCTGTTCCTCACCAAAAATATATCGGCCAAATAATTGGTGAATATGAAGCACTTTATAAACTGGATAATACTATATAAATGCTGTTTTTATGGTTGACTCTTAGATAATCATATCGGATTCTCTAAAACGGTAAACTTGACCTAGGGATAGTCTTTAACTTAGTGTATGGACCCTGTGCTAGTGTAGAAGACAACAGTTTACAATGTAAATAGTCATGTTAAAATTATCTTATTCAGCAAGTTACTGTTTTTTCTATTAAATATTGAACTCTCCCTGTTTATGAGGTGTTTTGGGTACCATCTTTACTATGTGAAACAAGTTTAAAATACAGTTCTTGAACCCAAGGCACTAACAGAAATTTATGTAATGGTGGAAATTTTCTATGTTTGTGCTGTTCCCTATGGTAGCCACTAGCCATGGTAGCTATTGAGCAATTGAAATGTCCCTAATATGGACAGGAACCAAATTTTAAATTTTATGTAATTTAAATTGATTTGTACGTAGTGGCTCCATGTGCCCAGTGACTACTGTGATGTGTAGTGCAGGTGTAGATGAGACCTAAGACCAACTGCATGAATAGTAAATTAACACTCCAAAGTAGTTTATAATAAAAGCTGGATAGCAGCATGGTGAGCAAGTGCTATAGGAGTCTAATAGAAGTGGAGAGGAGGCTGGTTATGTCTGGGATAGGGCTCTAAGTGGAAATGGGTTTTAAGCCGAATATTAAAGTCTGGGTAGGATTTGTAGTCTCAGCGGGAGCCAGAGACCTCCATAGGGAACAGTGAATTGACTTAAGCAAACTGTGACTGAGAAGGTACAGTAGGGCCAGATTATGGAAATCCTTGACTCTCATTTAATTTCTTTCATTCCATTTATACATTCTGCAAAAGATTACAGAATCATTGTGTCTGTTTGACAGGCACAATGCTGGTCTCTGGGTATACAGGGTTCAAAGCTGGGTGGCTTAATGAACAAACCAGACATGGTCCCTGTCCTAATGGGATGTTAAGCAGTCAACATACAGATTATGAAAAGAGTCAGAAAAAGTAAGAAGGGTACTTAGATTAACAACATGGAGGCCTAATTTAGAGTATGAGGTCAAGATAGTTCTTTCTGAGGCAATAGCATTTAAACTGAATGAGACATGAGGGGTGAAGAAAAGCTGGCTCATGGATGCACACTTCTAAGGCAATGGGTAGGCACCAGTGAACATTATTTAATAAAGAATAATGAAAGGCAGTTTTAGATTGTCTGCAAGGTGAACTGAAGAATAGAAAGCCAGAGTCTACTGGGCTTCTTGTATCTGATTTTTATTTATTTAAATAATAGTGTAGTATAGTGTAAAAATTTGAGTTTAGAGTGTGACAGTCTAAGCTGTCAAACTGGATTTGAATCTTTGCTTGTCATTTATTAAATGAGTAGACAGACAAGACTCTTCATCTGTAAAATGGGATCAGAATTCCTACTTTATGAGATTATTGTGCAGAATAAAATAGTATATGTAAAACCTAACCGTGCATGGCAAATAACAAACAATAAACAGTAGTAATTTGTGTAGCTTTTTCTAAATAAGGTCAGTAATACAATTTCAGTGAAACATTAAGTTGATAATCTTTGGAATTAATGAGAAAGCCGATAAGGTTTCTGAAGTATCTAAATCACCAGGAGAATTTTAATTATCAATATGCAAGGGTCAGTTCATTTAGATGTTTTACTAGCTTTCCTTTTTGGTCATGCTGGAAAGAATTCCATTTCTTTTGGGGGGTGGGAGCAGAACAAAACCAAAATAACTACTGTTTAGATTTAAAATGTTTTTACCATTTCCTGAATCCTTGGACTGTTTTCTGTTTGGTTGCTCCACATTACAGGATTCAGTTTTAGTATTTGGGTACCATCCATCTCTCCCAGAAGGTAAGCCGGTTGATACAACTTTTGTGGATAAGTGGCTGTATTCTAGTTGGTGGTGTTTCTGAGAAGTATAGATAGGACAAGCTATCTAAACATGAGGAACAAAGTCAGTATCAGTGTTACATGAACTGTGAACATCATCTGGAAGCCAGTGAATGGATCCCCATTGTGATGTGAGGCACTCAGAGAGATGTATCATAGTGTGATCTTAAGTAAATGTGCTGGTTTATTCCACATTGCTCTGCCTTTGGAGCAGCCTGTGATGAAGGTAACCTAAAAAGTGAGTACCATTAGAACTTGATTGCCGTCCCAAACCATTATATCTTTAAAAATCCTACGATCTTCTCAGTTATGCAGGTAATCGAATACCTTGTTAAATACTAGGAATATAAATGGCCAGAAACCTCACAATGTAAAAGAGTGAAATTTATTGGTAGTGAAAGAGTGCAAACATTGCTGTCATAAGACTATTTTGTAAAGAAATAACTAGAGATATGTTTGATATTTATAGCACATTCATTGCAACCATTAAAAATATCAAAATTGATTATGTGGGAAAATATTTAATGCGGATTTCTCAGTTTTTCCCTAAAGGATTATAGAATATGTTCAATATGATCCCAGTTTTTGAAAATACTTAGGAAAAAAGGATGTATACCCAGCTGGGCACAGTGACTCACACCTGTAATCCTGACAGTTTGGGAAGCTGAGGTGGGAGGATCACTTGAGGCCAGGAGTTTGAGACCAGCCTGGTTAACATAGTGGGTCTCTCTCTCTCTCTCTCTCTCTCTCAGTTGGAGGCTGCAGTGAGTGAGGATTGTACCACGTCACTCCAGCCTGGACGACAGAGCAAGATCCTGTCTCAAAAAAAAAAAAAAAGACATATACCCAAACATGTTAATAGCTAAAGAGGGATTGCAAGTGACTTTTAGTTTTTGTTTTTGTTTTTCCTGAGTTTTCCCAGTGTTTCTTGAGTATAGAATTAGAACTTAAATTTACAGAAAAATAGAAGGAATTGATCTAAATCCTGTTTTGCTCTTCGTTCTAGTTTCGTGGGTTTAGGCTAAGAATTAGGAGGCCCCGATTCTTAACTTAGCCACTAGCAATATGACCTTAGGTAATCCTCATAAACCTCACTGGACCTCAGTTTCCTCATCAGATTAAATGACAGAGAAATGCAGTCCCTTCCAACTTTAAAATGATTCTGGAAGGAATCCTATTCGAATTTGGCTAGAAAAAAGTGGACTGTGACTTATGGGATGAGACACAGAAGTCTGAAGTCAAACACACTATTATTTGGAAGCTTACTGACCTATCTGTCTTTACAAAGTACATGTAATGTGTTTTAGGAAGCAACATAACACTGTATCTTAGGGTCACATAACTTGACAAAGGCTTAAATTCTTTGCCTCGGCTTTCCATTATCTATTAACCAACACACTCTACTGGTGGACTAAAGGCTCTTAAATGGATTAATGGTACTGTATTTCATCTTTGCCTAGCATTTTGTAGTTTGCCACTTTCTTCACGTGACATTATTTGGTTTCCATAACAGGCAGGGAACATACTATTCCTGTATTTCACATGAGGGTACTGATGGCAAGTGACTTGCCAAATTCTCATTGCTTGTCAGTAGATAGCATGGAAACTAACTAGAACTCTGGACTTCCAATCAAGTATATTTGTCTTTACACCCTACTACCTCTTTTCGTGTGTTTTCCCCCTAGTGCTCTACATTATCTGTTAAGACTGTTTTTATTCTCCTTACATGAAAATAGCTGCTAAGTTTCTCAGTCATAAAATTTGAAAGCTGGGTGAAATCTAGCCCATTTTCCTTACTGGAGATATAATACAATTCTACCATTTTACAGATGAGGAAACTGAAGTCTATAGAAGCCAAAATGACATGATATTGATATGTATGTATATGTGTGTATGTGTATATATACCTATTTCCATCCAGGACTTGGACACATGCTGTTTTCAGTATACTTTATTAGGAGAAAATCAGAGATAATGTTTTTTTAGAGGGTCAAGAAGTGAAAACTATTAATTTGAATATTATCAATATATACAAGGATAATCAGCTTTTCAGGAAGCAGTTATTGGGTACCTGCTATATCCAAGCCATTCTTATTTTATAAAGTATTTCTTGAAAGAACAGACAGTCAAAGCAGTGTGTTTTTTTATTGTGCCAGATGGCTCTTTTCTGTAGTTTAGATACCAAATTATTACTTGGGCATTTTAATCCTAGTTTAATTAGTGAGCAAGATAGGTTTTTATATTGTGAATTAAAGTTAAAAAAAATCCCCCCAAAAAACAAACCATACCTGGAAACAGGATTCTTTTATTCTTGTTACTGTAACATTTATATTGTTGAATCTTGCAGTTCTTTGAAGTGTTGTAAGTAGATTATTATATCTCAGAGAACAGAATTTCCTGAAATAATCACATTGAGTTTATTTACTTATTTACTTATTTATTTTTACTTTATTTTTAATATTCTTCATGTAGTAAAACACAAACATCAGAAAATACCAGAGATTCAGTCATATATTAGTCAAATATAGCCAGATATGGCTAGGGGTCATAATAATGAATTAGATAGATTTCAGGATACCACCAAATAGAGATGCAAAAATATATTTTGAAATACTGGGCATTGACCTCACGTACTCTTTCAGCTTTGTCCATATTCTTCCTATAGGACTTTGTTTATATTATTGGAGTGGTAAAGTGGTAACATTTTATTATGGATATTGACACAGCTCCCCAGCAAGACTTTAGCTCTTTGAAGTCTGAGACCACTTTGCTTTATTCTTTTTGAATTTTAAAACCTAAC